ATTCCAGGTTGTAAGGCAATGAAATAGGAAAAATGCCAAGGGGGAGTGAATACTTTCACAAGCCACTGTACACATCATGCTACCCACTTCCTTCCTTTCTGTTAGCATGTTCACCTACTACACATCATGCTACCCACCTCCTTCCTTCCTGTTAGCATGTTCACCTACTACACACCATGCTACCCACCTCCTTCCTTTCTGTTAGCATGTTCACCTACTACACATCATGCTACCCACCTCCTTCCTTCCTGTTAGCATGTTCACCTACTACACACCATGCTACCCACCTCCTTCCTTCCTGTTAGCATGTTCACCTAGTACACACCATGCTACCCACCTCCTTCCTTTCTGTTAGCATGTTCACCTACTACACACCATGCTACCCACCTCCTTCCTTCCTGTTAGCATGTTCACCTACTACACACCATGCTACCCACCTCCTTCCTTTCTATTAGCATGTTCACCTACTACACACCATGCTACCCACCTCCTTCCTTTCTGTTAGCATGTTCACCTACTACACATCATGCTACCCACCTCCTTCCTTCCTGTTAGCATGTTCACCTACTACACACCATGCTACCCACCTCCTTCCTTTCTGTTAGCATGTGCACCCAGTACACACCATGTTTTCAGGATTCTATAGTTGTGGACACTACATCACCGCACTTCCTCTCTTGGTCTTCCTCATCTTTGTAGGTCACCTTGATTTTTCACCTGTGTGTTTTATCAGTTTCTTTATGAAAATATTTAGCGAACTCCATGACAGTAGCTAAAGCAAGGGGCTATTAGCAGCACACAAGTAGACTACAGATGCATGCTGGGCCGGGCCCTGAGCTCAGGAAGTGAGCCCTACTGGAGTGGTACTGGAGCTAAATTGTTGCGGGCGGAAAAGGCCGACACTCCAGCCTTTGGGAAACTCGCTCCGCGCTCCAGTCAAATTGGGCCTGCTCCGCTCCTCGCTCCACTCACATACTCTGGTCCTTAGTCAGTCCTACAGTAGCAAGGTATGATCTGACTCTGTCCTTAGTCCTACAGTAGGTGGTATAAAGGCAGGGAGGTAGAGAGATGGAAGAGGCACTGACCTCCAGTCTTAAAGAAGCCAGGGGGGGGTCTGTGGTATCTAGTGTGTCCCAGGATGGCTCCCCTGTTCTGGGCCGGGCCCTGAGGAAGACCCCCTGGCCCTGGCTCTGGCTCTGGGTCGCCACGGCTCGCTCCTGTCCTAGACGCCACTCCAGCTCATCCCTCACACCGTACTGTGACTGGGGGGGGGGGGGGGGGGGTCAGGGGTCAGGGGTCAGGGGGGGTGACAGGTGAGGGGTGGGATAGAGGGGTGGAGGGAGGGAGGAGGGAATTGTTGGGTGAATGAACAGAGACGAATGACCACGAACAAACAGGGGGAGGAATCAGAGAAAACTAAAAAAAAAAAAAAAAAAAACTAACAAAATGGGCCAAAGAAGATAAAGCCAAGGTGGAAAAATTGTTCCTAAAAAACTGAAAGAGAACAGACGGAACGGAACGGAGCTAGAGAACCAAGAAAAGGACAAAGAGAAAGAGTAACTTAAAGACGACGGCGTACGAGAGAGACGAGAAGAGGACTGGAATGAGGATGAACGACACGATGGGCTGAAACATCTGGAAGGAGGGAACACAAAGAGGAGGAGAAAAAAAACAGAGGGGGCAGGGAGGAAGAACGCAAAAAAACACTAGTTATGAAGCGATGAAGGATACATGATTCCAAACCGACAGCTGATAGAGTAGATAGACTGCAGATAGCTTAGCTTAGCCACACCACCAGCCATGCAGTAGAAGCAGCTGGCTAAGAAAACTCTACACACGTGTGCAATGCGGTTATTTTTTCACCGTACACTTTTAACTGTTTTACACTGTTAAACTTGGACTCTTAATTAGGACTTTATCGTTCTACATGACTTTAACTTTATTCCTTTTCTTTGCGCAGAGAGGGCAGAACACGTCCTTCATGCTTGTGAGAATGTTTTGTTTGTAGTAGCTGTCAGTTGAGTAACAGTATGCCCCCCACACACACCGACTACAACTCGTCCTAACCATGATGAGGATTCTACAGGCAAACGGGTTAAAGGGTTTTCCCTATCCGATTTCAAAGGAGAATTGAGAATTTTAAAAAACTTGGTTCTTCATTGAACAATTCCAAGAGGCCCAATCATGGTGTTTATTAAGATGCTGGCTCAAACAGCTGTTACAGTGGTGGAGGGCAATGTAGCAGACAGAAGGGAAAGTTACCTCCACAGGCAGCTCGTAATTCTGACTTTGATTGATTGATTGATTGGTTGATTGGTTGCTTGATCAGTTGTGAAAAGCCATATGGAAGAAGCTGCCTCAACCCACGTTTTTCCATAATTGGCAAGAACCACCCATTTACCCCCCCCCCCCCCCATGCAGGTCAGGGCGATGGATCAAGTCAGCAGGTTGCTATTTCGGGTGCAGGGTTCATGTGCGTATGGGTATGCGGATGCAGCAGCGAAAAGCAAGCGTGAGGGATGGTGATTGGGGACTGGGGAGGAGGCTGGTGGTGGTGCTGTGTGGCTGAGCTGGGTGGCTCAAGGTGGGGCAGGGGGCTGCTGTGGCACCTCTGCTGGTCGTTTAGTAGTCCAGTGTTTCTCAGTCCAGCACTAACACACATGATTCAACTAAACGGCTAATCACCAAAGCCCAGGATCAGTAGTGCTGGGCTAGGAATCCCTAGCAATGGATGGGAAACATTGGTCTAAAGGGCTGCGTTTACACAGGCAGACAAATTCTTTTTTTTCTCCAACTAATTGATCTTTTCACATCAGATCTTATCTGATTGGTCAAAAGACAAAATTAGTGAGCGAAAAAGACAATCAGAATTGGGCTGCGTGTGTAAACGCAGCCAAGGTGTCGTCATCTCTGCCTGGTTCCTGCTGATCTGTATTGATCTAGTGTTAGATTGGAACAGAGGGGCTCTATGGACTGTCTGTTGATGTCGTGTACGGGGCGGAGTGTAGTGTAGTGGGCCGTTTGTTTGTTCTGAGTGGGTAGTCCTCTGATAAAGCTGTCCAGACCTGGGGATGCGTCCCAAATGGCACCCTATTCCCTATATAGTGCACTACTTTAGACCAGAGAATGGCACCCTATTCCCTATATAGTGCACTACTTTAGACCAGAGAATGGCACCCTATTCCCTATATAGTGCACTACTTTAGACCAGAGAATGGCACCCTATTCCCTATATGGTGCACTACTTTAGACCAGAGAATGGCACCCTATTCCCTATATAGTGCACTACTTTAGACCAGAGAATGGCACCCTATTCCCTATATAGTGCACTACTTTTGACTAGAGCCTTATTTGCTCTGGTCAAAAGTAGTGCACTACATAGGGAATAGGGTGCCATTTCAGACGCAGACCTGGCTAGCTGTAATGAATGGTTCTGTGTATTTGCCGCGCTACGCTGCATTAGCATCACATTTAGAGGCTGGGAATGGCTCTACAACAACTGCTCACTGGGATGAGTTCAAATCCAGTACCAATGGACTGTACCATTTACACAGACTCCCCTTGGGGTTCTATACCGTTTAAACCCAGTAGCAACGGACTGTACCATTTACACAGACTCCCCTTGGGGGTTTATACCGCTCCCGTCCGTGAATTTGTGCTGCGTGTGAAATGGCACCCTATTCACCCATACAGCCCTGGTCGTAAGTAGTGCACTATCCATGAAGTAGAGTGCCATTTGGGACTGTCTGTCCCCTTGGGACCCACCCCTGGACTGTCTGTCCCCTTGGGACCCACCCCTGGACTGTCTGTCCCCTTGGGACCCACCCCTGGACTGTCTGTCCCCTTGGGACCCACCCCTGGACTGTCTGTCCCCTTGGGACCCACCCCTGGACTGTCTGTCCCCTTGGGACCCACCCCTGGACTGTCTGTCCCCTTGGGACCCACCCCTGGACTGTCTGTCCCCTTGGGACCCACCCCTGGACTGTCTGTCCCCTTGGCTAAACCAGACTTTGCAGAGGGACCTATTCCTCACTGTTGTTTCAAGTCGTGCTGCCCCTCTGTCTGACAGATTTCACTACTTCAACCTTTCTATTTGTTTCCTGGTGTCATAATGTCTTCACGTATAAATCAGAATGTCCTTGTTGTTTTGACCAACCCGTTGTATAAATCAGAATGTCCTTGTTGTTTTGACCAACCCGTTGTATAAATAAGAATGTCCTTGTTGTTTTGACCAACCCGTTGTATAAATCAGAATGTCCTTGTTGTTTTGACCAACCCGTTGTATAAATCAGAATGTCCTTGTTGTTTTGACCAACCCGTTGTATAAATCAGAATGTCCTTGTTGTTTTGACCAACCCGTTGTATAAATCAGAATGTCCTTGTTGTTTTGACCAACCCGTTGTATAAATCAGAATGTCCTTGTTGTTTTGACCAACCCGTTGTATAAATCAGGTGGGCATGTTTTATGTCTGATAGTTATTAATCACATGCTTTGCAAAATAACCTATTTTTTTATGTTGCGGTTTAATACTATTTTCCATAATGACTACTTGCCGCTACAGGCAGGGATTCTTCAACTTACTGATAAGACATACTAACTTATTGATACTTGAGCCAATAAGGAAGCAGCCAAGAGGGTTGATGTCTAGACGTGGCAGGGAGACAGACAGCATAACATACAGTACGGACATGTATGGGGGCATGGTCTGCAACACAGATGGCACCCTATTCCCTATGTAGTGAACTGCTTTGGACCAGGTCCCATAGGGCTCTCATCTAATGCTACCGGCCTGAACCCAGTGAGATGGAGAACACTCGTCAATGGCCTATTCTCCTTATAGAAGCCAAGGGCTTAAGCCAAGTAAAGTAAGCCTGAAGGATCTGGTCAAAAAGTAGTGCACTACATAGTGAATAGGGTGCCACTTCGGACGCACACCTGGGATAGAGAAAGATGTAGGTCAAAGGTCAAAAAGTCAGAGGCATATTATCCCATTCCTTACCTGGAAGTCTGTGACCAGGTCGCGTCCCAGGGTGCCGATGGGCGAGTCTCGTGACATGGAGGTGACCCCGGACAGGAAGCTACTGGACTCTGTGAGGTTGGGCATGGGCGACAGGTCGTCCCCCCGATCCCGGTCACCTCCCCTCTCCCTCAGGCCCTCTCCCAGGTGATCCACCTTCTCCATGAAGATATGGAGCTCTGTGCGGAAGGCCTTCATACGGGTGTTGATAGTGTCCAGGACCTGTGAGTCTGGTTTGGGCTCGGGGAGGGGGGTGGTGTCTCCTTTAAACCCCTCCAGAGCCAGACTCAAACTGTCCCCTGTTACTAGAATCTTGCCCTCGTAGATCAGACTGTCCGTGTCGCTAATGAGATGATCTACGGTCTTCCCAAGGCGCTCTGCTTCTCGTTTGACATTCGTGAACGTCTCGCGGTCTTCTCGCCTACGATTAGATAGTTCGGTGGCGCTGAACCTGCTGAGCTCGTCCGAGGGCTTGTGACTTCCAAACCCCGAGGTTGTGGTCGTCTTCTCGAAGAGGTCCTCCGAGTCGCTCTCGCCGCCGACAGGCCCCTCCCTCTTGGGGTGAAGTAAAAGGAGCCTCCCTGTTTCTTCCTCCTCGGCGGTGTCGCGGTGCCCGGTGTAGCTGTCTGCATCGCTGTCTCGCGGAGAGCCGGTGCGGAGGCCCAGGTGTTGGGCCAGGTCACAGCGCTGAACGTTGGACATCAGGACTCTGTTCTCATACTGCAGCTTCATCACCTGGACGGACGAAGAGACGAGACACCATAATGTTAGCTTCAGAGACATTACACCATTATGTTAGCTTTAGAGATGGGACACCATTATGTTAGCTTTAGAGATGGGACAACATTATGATAGCTTTAGAGATGGGACAACATTATGTTAGCTTTAGAGATGGGACAACATTATGTTAGCTTTAGAGATGGGACAACATTATGATAGCTTTAGAGATGGGACAACATTATGTTAGCTTTAGAGATGGGACAACATTATGTTAGCTTTAGAGATGGGACAACATTATGTTAGCTTTAGAGATGGGACAACATTATGTTAGCTTTAGAGATGGGACAACATTATGTTAGCTTTAGAGATGGGACAACATTATGTTAGCTTTAGAGATGGGACAACATTATGTTAGCTTTAGAGATGGGACAACATTATGTTAGCTTTAGAGATGGGACAACATTATGTTAGCTTTAGAGATGGGACAACATTATGTTCGCTTTAGAGATGGGACAACATTATGTTCGCTTTAGAGATGGGACAACATTATGATAGCTTCAGGAACGTATTTTCTAAGGGTGCGTCCTGAATGGTACCCTATTTCTTTTATAGTGCACAACTTTTTACCAGGACCCATAGGGCTTGGGTCAACAGTAATGCACTATAAAGGGCCATTTAGGATGCACCCTAAGATAAAACCAGATACAATAATAGAGCATTATGGGTACTGTAGTCCATCATGCTGCCTCACACAGAGCATTATGGGTACTGTAGTCCATCATGCTGCCTCACCTTCCCACTGAGGTCATTGATCTGCATCCTGGCTGCCTTCAGCTCCTCCATCATCACCACACCGCTTCCGTTACCCCCGCCGCCACCGTTACTCCCGTTACCGGACTTCATCATCATCATCACGCCGACCTCGCCCTCCTCGTCTCTCGGGCCGAACTTGAAGCGGTTCAGTTCCGAGATCAGCTGCTTGTTGTGGTCTTCGATCTCTGAGATGGACCGCCGGAGAAGTTCTGCTTCTTCCTCTACAAACTGTAGGTGGCGCCGCAGCTCGCCGGCGGACTCCAGAGCGTCCCCGCCATACGGGGAGGAGGGCATGCTGCCGAACGGCTCCCGGCCGAAACAGTCCCTCTCGTACTGGCAGCGGATGTCCTCGTTCTCAGCCCTCAGGCCTCGGTTCTCCACCTGATAATAATGATCATTTTGATTATGAAGCGATCTTCATTTACAGGAAGAAATCAAGGTGCTGTAGAAAGGTGAAACAAAAGACAATGGCACCCTATTCCTTATGTAGTGCACTACTTTGACCTAAACCCTGGGCCCTGTTCAAAAGTACTGCATAGGGCTCTGGTCTATAGTAGTGCACTACATGGGATAGGGTGCCATTTTCAGACACACCCAGGGTTAAAAGACAGGCCACCCACCTCCAGCTCTACGATCTTCCTCCCCAGAATATTAGCCTCTTCCTCCACCAGTTTGAGCCGGAGCCGTAGCTCGGCCTCCCTGGTGCTGTGAGGCCCACCACCGGCAAGCTCTGCCAGGGGTAGAGGGCTGTCCACGTCCCCGTAGACTGACTTATACTTCTGGATCTCCTGCTCCAGCTCTTCCTTCTCCCTCCCCAGCTTGGCCATCTTCTTACGCATGAGGGTGGATTCTTCCTTAGAGAACTGCAGCTGACACCTGAGATCTGCACTGTCCTCCTGTGGAGAGGAGGAGGAGGAGGGGGAGGAGGGGAAGGGGAGGAGAGAGGAGAGGGGAGGAGAGGGTAGATGTGACGTGAGGAGGAGGTTAGCGGAGGTGATGTTGGTGCGTCGTATTGAGGAGGTGGAGGCTCGAGTTGGCTTCTTCTTTTTTTCGATGTGCTTTCATTTTTTTTTTTTTTTTTTTTTTTTTTTTCGTCTTCGGTTCTTTTTCTTTTTCTTTTCCTTGGTCTTTTTTTCTTCTTCCTTCTTCTTTTTTCCTTTGTCTCTTTTCTTCTTTCCTTTGACTTTTTTTCTTTTTTTTTTTTTCTTTTTCTTGTTTCTCTTCTTTTCCTTCTTCTTTTTTTCTTCTTTTTTTATTTCTTTTTTTTTTTGGTTGGCAGGATGAGGTCATTATTGTACCGCTCATTGTGAAATCAAATTGGGTTTATGTGATGGAATGTGTGATAGAAGTTTCCTACTTAGTTCAGAGATGATAGAATGTGTGATAGAAGCCTCCTACTTAGTTCAGAGATTATATAATATGTGATAGAAGCCTCCTACTTAGTTCAGAGATGATAGAATATGTGATAGAAGCCTCCTACTTAGTTCAGAGATGATATAATATGTGATAGAAGCCTCCTACTTAGTTCAGAGATGATAGAATATGTGATAGAAGCCTCCTACTTAGTTCAGAGATGATATAATATGTGATAGAAGCCTCCTACTTAGTTCAGAGATGATAGAATATGTGATAGTCTCCTACCTGGTTCAGAGACTTCTTGTCCCTAAATGTTTCCCTGCTCCCTCTCCTCCGTATAGCAGTCTGTGTGAAGGAAGGGAAAACACAAACATTAGAGGACATACTTAGACTGCACACTGCTGCGTACAATAACTAGGACAAGGTGGGGACAATGATTTAAACTGTTTCAATCCTCAAATCACTTTTCCTTTTTGACAGAACACATGAACATGTGACTATAGAATTAAATGAAAGCCCGGGG